AGCAGTATTTATTACACAAAATTTAAGTAAAGCTTAACATGCCGATCTTGCCCCGATCTCCCCTAATAGAGTTTATTTTAATCATTTGCCTGGATGTTCCTGAAAGTAATTTTGTCCATTATCTGAACGAAAATATTTTGTCTCACTTTATATCTTTCTAATTCCAAATTTTTTGGGGCGAATTCAGGTGAGGGCTCGGATCCTATCCGGGACCTCAAATAAAATTTAAACTGTTGGACGGGGAAAGAAATATTTTGAACAATTTCCAACACAAAATAATAATTGAGATTTTTTGTTTTATGAAATGAGAATCAAATTACTTTGTTATATCTTACGTAATAAAAAACGTCACATGAATGTAATTGGAAATTCTTTATGCCAAGAAAGAAAACACTCTTCTCTGAGTTACGGGCAAAAGTCCCAAAGTTCAGTAAACATTCCCTGTCTGTGTCGGACTACAGCATCGAATTAAATATCGATTTCGATCTTTCCCGTGTCCCAAGGTTCTACCAAGATCCTCTCTTCTTTCTAAAACGAGGTTCTACCAAGATCCGCTTTTCTTTCTAAAAGTTTCTGTGGCAGTGAAGATCCATTCTGTTGGAAGAAGTCCCAGCTAGCCATCGATTTCACTTCAAACCGCCTCGAAAGAAGCCGGCTCCTGGGTCACGACCCTTTACAAAGAACTTTTCGTTCGGAAACAAGACTGGCCTTATAGATAAAATTATTGTCCCCAGAAAAAGATCTTTCAACGGCAAATTTGTAGTCCATCGACTTATTTTCTAATTAATTAATCGGTTTATGCAACCAGGGTGTCTAGTCTCCAGTTATTATTGTATTGTGTCACGTGTCACTAATTCCTTCAATGAACGAGTTAATTAATAACAGGTGATATTCACAACACAGTACCTGTTTTTACTCACATAACTCACGACTAGATACCCAGATCAATTCTGTCTCCTCCATAACCAACCAATTTATATAATATTTTTAAGTTTCTAAACAAATTGTTTAATGGAAAAAAAGACTCTTTTAATAAATTGATTTTTGAAACTGAAAATAAATAGCTTAACTTTATATGGGCTTTGTTGATTATTTAGAAAAATTTGCTTCATATACAAAGTAATTACAATTATCATGTTTTACAACTGGTACTTATTTTGACTCAAAATAAAAATTTACGCCAAAATTTTTGATCTGAATCCTAAATCAGTGATTCCCAACTGAAGTATGCAAAAAAATTTAATGGTAGTGGACATATAAAAATAATAGGATTCTGTATTGAGGTCTTTGGTGACATCATGGCATTCAACACTTAGTTTTCAATAAAATATAAATTATTGAATTGCTTTTATCTGTGTCCTTCCTGTAATGCTTTTTGATTCTAAAAAACTTTTTTTTACATGTAATTGTACAGTACAGTGCTGTATAATTGACCAAGGTACCACTGTTTGACAAAGAAGCAAAATAAAACTTGTAAAAATGGGGTACCAAAGGATACACAAGTCAAAAAAGGTTGAGAACTGCTACATTAAATCATTCCTAATCAAGCCTAGCTGTTTATACTGTATTTGTTAATTTTTATGATGATGATTGCTTTCTCTACAGAAATGCAATGTTAGCTGTGTCAGTAATGGCATTGCATTTATTCAAAATTAACAGAACAATTTTATTTCAGTATGTTTTTTTTTCCTTCAACATCCTATACATTTTTGCTAAAAAGTTATCTGCAACATTTTAAATGTTTACATTTGAAAATTATATAGCAAAATTTTAAGAATTACACTGCAGTATAAAAATACAAAACATTTTTATTTAAATATTCCTATACATTTATACAGGTAACAAATTGTTATATACAACACAATCAAAACCGACTTCACTTATCTACATTATCTATTGCAATATAAGAAAAGAAATTAGTGTAACTTTGAAATTCTTTGTAATTGTTTAAAAATTTCTATTGTACTTGGAGTACTCTTTTTACGGCCAGAATGATGTCTTCTGGACGCGGGACCGCATGCAACTCTAATGTTTTTGTGTAGGGCATCGGAATATCTGCACCTGTCACTCTGACGATTGGAGAATCCAAATAATCAAAGGCAGGACCTATTTTGGCAAAATTTTATGAGTAACTTTTAAACAAACAGAAGGTATAATTTTTGAATTTGTATTTACTTTCAACAATTCTGGCACATATTTCTGATCCTATTCCTGATTGAGGCCATCCATTCTCTACAGTTATCAGATGATGTGTCTTCATTACTGATTCTATAATGCATTCATCATCCAGAGGTCTAAGAGATCTCAGATTTATAACCTAGAAGTATAAAAAGAATATGTCAATGACTATTTCATTAATACAATTATTAAAATGTATCATAAATAGATGACATCAAAATATTTTGATTACTATATCTATAAAAATAATAAGCAAACAAAGTAAAATGAAGTATAAAATGAAATGTTTTTCTCCATGATTTGATTAACATACTTCTCAGTAATGTACAAAAGATGTTTTTTGTGAAAGTGAAAAAAAATTGATGTAATGTTTCATATATGCAGATCTAAATGTGTTTTACTGTGGTAAATCAATTACCACAGTAAAAAGTATTTACACTCAAATAATGCAACACAGATCTACAGATCTAAAAACTGATGGGGGTTAGCATCGTTTATAATTTGATTTGCCCTCTTGCACTTTTCAAATGATAAATATCTGTGACAGATGTGTAAGGTGATTAAGTACATTTACATCATTAATCTATTTCCAAATAGGTGATAGTTTTGTTAAAAATAAGTTTTTTTTACTATTTATTATCCAAATCTTAAAGTTATCCTCCTCATTTAAAACTTATTATTTGATTTAATTATTTTTTAGACAAACAATGCAAAAGAATAATTGAAGATAACTGTTATATTAAGATATTAGAGAAAAATAATAAAACAAAAATACAGATATTGAACATATTTATTGAAATTGGGAAAGCAGTATATGAACTCTCAAATATTTAATTTATTAAATCAGTTTAAAGAAACTTACTTCACAATCAATACCAGATTTGGCTAATTCTTTAGCAGCATCCAAACATGTTCCAACAGCTTTAGAATGAGATATAAGTGTAACATGTTGGCCTAAAAAAGATTTATTTTCAAATTTTAATTTTCATTCATTCAATCTTTATTACATATTATTTATGTATTATATAATATTTACCTTGTTTTTCTATTTTCGCTTTGCCAATTGGAATAACAAAATCTTTTGATAAAACATCATCTCCAACTTCAAAAGAAGCACCATACATCAATTCATTTTCGAGACACACAACTAGGAAAAAAATTTATCATCAAATGCTTTTCATGTAAAAAAACATATTTTATTCTAAAATGTTTTACAATGTGATAAAAATGTTTGGACAAAACATTAATTTCCTATGCATTACATAAATAATGTCATGGATGAAATTATTTAAATAATACATAAACAAGTAAACATCACATTAAGCACATCAGATGATCATGCATATGCCACAATATATCACTATATAGTACAAAATATATACAGGGTAATCCAAAGTAACAGAAAATTTGAAAAATTAATAATTTGCTATGTATTTACAGTAGCATGATTCAGTTTTCACAGAATAAAGAGATTTTTATTTAGTGAAAAAATTTTAATACTAGATTAGTTATATTTTCAACCAACATATGGCTCCTGAGTTGATTGCTTAGATTTTGTAACACCAAAGAAATTATTACAAATTTTCTATGTGGTGCCCATCATTCATGTGCATTACCATCAGACAAGGTATGACTATGCACAGTATTAATAAACATTTCAGTTAGTATTGCTGAAACATGATGAATAGAATCCTTCAACTGGACAAACTTCGTACATCTTTAACTTCAAGTAGCACCATAACCAAAAGTCACAAAATGTAAGTCCAGAGACCTTCATTTACGTGAAAAGGAATGACTTAGGATGCAGTTCTCTCCAAATGTTTACGTTGTGTTACAGACATTGCAAGACAGCAGAAGCAATGTGCAGAGAAGCTCATCTGACAGCAGTGTTCATGAATGATGGGCATCACATTGAAAATTTGTAATAATTTACTTTGGTGCAAACTAAGCAATTAACTCAAGAGCAATCTGATGGTTGGAAATGTAATTAATCTGGTATTAAAATTTTCTCATTGTAGACAAAAACCCCACTTCATTCTGTAAATTTCTGTAAAATCTTCATCATGCTATTTTAAATACTTAGCAAACTATTGATTTTCTCTTATTTTGAAGCACCCTGTATATTATACCTCTTATAGAAATGTAACATTCAGTATATATCAAGTGATCAAACTAGTTAGACAAGAGCTGCACTTAGAGTCAACATGGTTATAGTGACTCTTTAAAGAACTGATGATGATGTAATGCAGCAAAATAACAGAGAATTTTGATGTTAGTGGTATCATGACAATATCACATCAGTCAAATTAAGTTAACAGATTTGATGTAATTGGCTTTATCTGTTAATAAATATTTATTAATTAAACAATATTTCTATCATGTTTGAAAAGTTATAGTGATGCTACTAAGCTTTTCACTATCTGAATGGCCAAATATATGGTATTAACTGTACTGCTAATGTTCTTGAGCTCCACTTTTGCTATTGGTATACAGGTAATTCAAAAGGTTGGTCTCAAAGTTCAGAAACATACAGAGATGTTAAAAGGAGCAACTTTTGAATAGGAACCTGTGATTGCTGACCTAATCATGAGTCAGTAAAGGCATCTAATGTAAACTTCTTTTGGGTATATCAAAAGTATTGTTTATTAGACATGGTGGATGACCCAGAAGCACCATTAACTAGAATTTTTGCAGCAGAGGTTGTGTATGGGATATTTCAGTGTGTGCAATAGAGTTTTCTTAAAAATGCAATTCCTGCATTAAATTTGGGTCATCAATTTGAACAAATTCTGTAAACCTTTAACTTCAATATGTACTACATTTACATTAATGTACTCTTTGTTTTGTTATTAAAACATTTGTTCATTGATATATTTTGTCATCATTCTATCTGTGATATAGTTCCTAACATTAGACAGCTTGTACTAACTCAGGATTAAATCAGCAAACACATGTTTCTATTTGAAATTTCAATTCCTTTATATACTCCTGAGGTTTAAGACCAACTTTATGAATCACTCTGTATATCATTAAATTAGATAATGTAGTAATTACCTGGATCTGGATCTCTTATTGCTGATTTTAATAAGCCTTTACAATCTTCACTATTGTATGGTGATATGACTTTTAGTCCAGGACAATGACTATACCAAGCACCAAAGCATTGAGAATGCTGAGCTCCTACTCCAACAGCTGAACCATTGGGACCACGGAATACAATTGGAATATTTATCTAGTTCAATTAACTCAAGTTAATATTCATTAAATTTAAAAACAAATTCGTTAAATTTTGAATTATGTATTATTACCAAACCGGCAGACATGTAAAAGGTTTTGGCTGCAGAATTAATTACTTGATCAATAGCTTGCATAGAAAAATTAAAAGTCATGAATTCACATATTGGTCTTAGTCCAACCTATAACATTTAAAACAATTAATTTAAAATTATTTATAGTTTTAAATCCTATTCTAGTATCATAACTAAACTTAATGTATTTAACTTAATTAAATCCTTAAATTACCATACTCTCAATGAATTTCTCAAGAATGAGAATATTTGAAGAATGGATTAACCAGTTAGATCTCCAGATTTGAACCCAATAGAACATGTCTGAGATGCTGCAGTTTTCAAACTTTTAGCATGGATGAAACATTTTCTGTTTATTAAATTTGATTTTTTTGTGGAATCTCATAATAAAAATGACTATCAAGCAGAAAAAAACTTAATACTTTTAATTGTATTACATTTAATTGTAAAAATAAATATAAAATTGCAACATTTAACAAAAGTAAAATATTTTTACTTCCATTATTCTTCCATTGCTCCAGTGACAGTCCACAAATTCACAATTATTTATACAATTAAATGTAATACCGTCAGCCATGTTTTATATTTACTATTTATTTAAAACTTAATACTTGTAATATGAAAAGTTTTTAAAATCATAATGTTTATTTTTAAGTTTTTATTTCTGGTCATAAACCTTAATACAAAATAAATTTGATTAAAAATTAACTCAAGAAAATTTTTTAAACAATTTTATTTCACATTCTCAAAATAACAATTTGTTATAAATTGTTATTTTGACAACATAAATGTACATGTAGAATCCCTGAAACTGTTCTGTGGGATTTAACAGTTTCATAGAATACATTTTGAGATCAGTGCTATTATAAGATGCATTGAAGTTCATTGTCTTTACTAAAAGTCTTTGTGAGTTAAGTTCTGCTTTTGTTGAGGAATAGAATTTTCTGTATGTGTGCATTCTTGTTATTTGACTATAAGAAGTAATCATATTTTCTATTAGCATGAATTCTCTACAATGATAATATTAATAACTCAATTTCAAATCCTATGTTCTTGTGATCACAATTTATTAAAATAAGATAAAGATTTATTCTTGCATTTAATTACAACATTTCTTAGTCTTTAGATTACATACACAAACATTCACATAATCAAAAGATAAAGAAATGAATTTTTAAAATGTATTGCACTTATTTTTCAAACACAACTTCTGGACTTCAACTTTGATGTCAATGTAAATATTAAAAAAATTCATTAAAGTCCAAAACACTATTTCTAAATTTTATTTTAATTAATTTAATTTTAAAACTTTTACCATGGCAGCTCCAACTGCAATTCCAGCAAATCCCATCTAAAAATAAAATATTATTGTTACTTTCTCAATAGATTTTTCTATTTTTCTACAAAAAATATTTATTTATTTTAAGCATTTATTTAAATGTTTACAAATATTGAATATTAATGAATTAAAGTAAGACTCTCTACATTATGAATCTAATATGATTTATGATCCAAATTTTGGACTTGAGTCATTTCATATACTCCTGTAATTGTTTTCATACATTACATACATTTTTTTGTTTTTATTTTTATTCAGTCTTTTTCTACACCAACTATCTTATAGTCAATCTAAAGGAGTGATCAAACTGTTCGGATAGGAGCATAAACTGCTTATCAAAAATACATAAGAGCTGCATCCTCTATTAGAATGCCTATTGGAGAGCCATATCATCTATTTATATTATACAAATTAATATATAAATCCAAACACCATTCCTGGTGTTTGGATTTATACCGAATAGGACGTATACCAAACCAACCTTTCCCATAAGAAGTAATGTAAAAATGATTAATCCGTTCTCATGTTAAAAAAAAAAAATGGCTGGCTTGAAACACCTCACTTTCCTGGCTAGTTCCTGCTTGATTTTTCATGAGATCAGCATATATATTTTTCTCGCAAATAATTGCTTCTGATACGCTGTCGCCAGCACACTGTTTTTCAGTTATCCAAAGCAAAAGCAATTTCTCAACATGATCTAATGTCTTCGATCTATGTTTAAAAATTGATTTAACCCCTTTCGCAACGTTAGCAAATTTAGTAATGTCTTTATTTTTCACGATTGTCGATATCATCATTCTTGGAATACGTATGCAACAGTTAAATCTTGAACACGCATGTCACCTTCATATTTCTCAACAATCTCATTTTTCAGTTTCATTGTGATTTTAGTCATTTTTTTATTTTTCTGTTGCCTTTTTGCAATTCATGATTAATAAAAATAATAACATTTTACTTACAAATTAAAATAAAAAGAAATTTAACAAAGTTATAAACTGTGGCACTGCGAACGTCTAGTCTGGTCTAATACACGGATAGTGCGTATAATTGAATTAAGTCGTATACTGAGCAAAATTTGTTTCGTCCGAACAGGACGTATTCCAAATTGAACGTATTCTAAAGCAGACGTACACTGAGGTACCACTGTATATAATTAAAATACTATAGTTATCACTGTTCTAGTAATTATCATTGTTACTATCCTGGTACTTTATGACTAATTAGATAAACAATCATTTAACTCCTTTGACTTTATGAATGTGCCTTATGCTTTCAGTTGGTCCATTTAAGATTAAGTATGAGTTACACTTACAGTCCCTGTGTATATTACACTATGTAATAATCAGAAAACTTACAGAAATATTATATATGTTGTAAGAGTTTATAAAAAGATATTGTATAATTAACAGTCAGCACACAAAACTGGTATTCAATATAAGTAACACACATTGATACCAGAAACAAGCAAATAAACTCCACAAGTTTACTGAAACAAATGTTTTTGTTTATTTTCAAATGGACATTATCAGGTTTTCAACTGTTGAATGCTGAATGAAATAAGTATTTAAAAAATAATTCATAATTTAAAAAATCAAACAAGATTTTCCAGCAGAAATCTGTACATGTACAGTACAGCATTCCCAAGAATAGGACAATCACCATTAAACTACATTAGGTTGTAAGTATTGAACTTACAACCTAATATAGTTTAAATTAAACTTACTTAAAATTAAAACTACATTTATATTATGTTATTACCGCATATTATGTTTATATTAATTTAAATTACATTAAAGTAACACAGTTGACCCCCCTATAACACGGGTTATTATAGTTCGGATTCCTATATCACAGCGAAAAAATTGCAACAGTATTCGTACAACATGCTAAAAAATCTCCTATAATTCGGTAAAACGTCATCGCCGACTCGTGCCGACTCGTGTCGTGACAGGATTGCACAAACCGTTGAGTTTAAACGAACAGAGGGCCTACTAAAAACCATTTATTATTTAACGTCCATAAAAATTATATTTATATTAATGATGTCTCCAAAGTTCAGCGAATTTTTCGCAAAAAAAATAATTTATCAGGAAGCATGCAAGCACCATTTGATGACAAGCTCCACGACGAAAACAAGCTTAAGCAATGGCGTAGTCGAACGATGCACGCTCGGTAAATAATCCTACAATTTTTTGTTTATAGTATAGTTTATATGGATTATTCCCAAAAAATTTTACGTATTTTGGAAATGTTGAGTTGAATTAGTCTAGAATCGATTAATTTTATGGAAGAAATCTTTCAAACAGCCGTAGTCTGTAAACTGCATATGTGCCAGGCTATGATTGGCTGGACTCCTAGAAGCTGGATTCATAAAAACAGGAACATATCTACTGTGTTATAGGGGAGTTGACTGTACTTTATTTACCAAAACGTGTAATTTCTGTAAAACAAAATCTCCCTATAGAGAATTTTTTTCAAGTTTTAACGATTTTGTTATATAGAACTTTAACTGTAAATATCTGCCAAAGTGTATGCTTACTAAGCATGCAAAACTTTTTATGTTTCTATTGCCCGTTGTTGCTCAACAATATTGAAATTAAAACATACATACATACATACATTTAAAAAAACTGAAAAGTTCATGTACAGTACCTAGGAACAATTGTGGATGGAAGTAATTTTACTCCAAAAGAATGCAATAGACTACTATTTTGTATCTAGCTTTTTTAGATTCTATTATTCAACGTTCTTATCCAGAACATCAAACTTCGAATTTACAAAATGATAATCTGATATGTATTATTCTATGGCTCGAAGACCTGGACATTATTAACTGGTAACAAAGAAGAGAAATGCTATCCTTTGGAATCCAGGTTCTCAGAAAAATATTTAGACTCAAAGGAAAGCAATAAATGGAAAATTAGGAAACATGTTGAACTTAAAGACACAAACAAATTATTGAAATCAAAGCTGACTGCATCAGGTGTCTTGATTACGTTCTCAGAATGCCTGAGAGAGGAATCCAAGAAAGACCTTCATGAGAAAGGTAGAAAGTAAGATATCTATGGGAAGACCACAGTGTAGGTGGAAAGATGGCTTCAAAAACAACTTCACAAAACTAGGTGTTGACTACAAGAAAAGAGCTAAAGATCAAGAGAATTATAAGGGAGGCAAAAACTGCATCAGTTGTCAAATGCTAATGATTGGTTGATTGTTAGCATAATAATTTTTATTACATTTTTGTTAAAATTAATAATTGCTAAATTTTCTTCAGATTTGTTTGGAACTCTAACAGCTGTTCATAGAACTGTAGGACCTTTATAAAATGAACTTACTGAGTACGAAAAAGTTTTTCCTCTTTCTGTCTGGTAAGCACCAAGAGGGCCTTTAATCTCATTCACTGTGAATATGGTTAGACCCACAATTCAAGCAGCTGAGTGGTGAGGGATGGGCAGGGCTGGCCCGAACAGAAGCAGGGCCCAGTGCAAAGTTAACTTGCGGGGTCTTAAAACAAATTTCTTACAACAAAAAAATAATTTATTGCATTTTGCTATTTATTACATTGCACAAATTGATATAGTAAGGAATACATGAAAATAATAAATAATTAAATTATTTTAATAAAATTAAGATTTCAATCACACAAAAAATCATTAATAAATTAAACAACAAGACTAATTGCTTCATATACTTATAAAATACAATTTGGTATGCAACTTACTAGAATAAGGTTACAATATCTAATTTTTGTTTCATTTTCTTACATGTTTTATAGCAAATTCATTGATATCATCATCATAATTTAGTTTTTTGGCTAATTCAAATTCGATAGATAAAATGGCTAAGGAGGTAAATCATTCTAAACTGATGCTAGATCTCAAGTAATTTTTTATTATTTTCAATCTTGAGAAAGATTGCAACTGTAATTGGTAAGGTTAATATAATTTTCAGAACAGTAACAAAATTTGGATACAATTCAAATAAACTATTGTTAAATAAATATTGTAATATTGTGATCCTGGAAGGCAAAACTCGACAAATTTTGATTTCATTAAATAAATCAGTGTGCCAGTCTCTAAATTTCATCATTTCTTTCTATTTTATTCTTCAGTTTTGACCATTCTTTTGTTCCGGAGAAAGGTGAAGTAATTTGTAAAAAGCATGATTGGTCTTTCAGTGGTCCTCCTCTCTTGTCAACGAAGAATGATATGCGTCCATGTGACATGGATAGCATATCATCGGTCATAAATCACCATCACCATCAAAAAAGGGGGAAACAATGGTCATCCCCTAATCTTTTCTTTCGCATGTTGTGAAATTTATAACAATTGATAATTATTTTTGTTCTAATTTGTTTCTCTAAATTATTTTAAATCAATATTACTAAAAATTCGGAAAGGGATCCGTAAAATCGGAAAAATAGGTGAAATTCCTTTACAACGTTGTTTGATATACAAACAATCTCAGTGTCGCATTTACATACATCTCCCAGATGTGGGTCCAAATGGCATCCTGTCTGACAGCTAACAACTACTCTTTACAAGCGTAAGTGATTTTTCAAATTGCAATTTGCATGCATAGTGATTGACTCAAAGCACCCAACCTTGCTTTGGATTGGTTGATGTAAAATGTGTGCTAACTGTGTGATAATATTCAAATGTATGTATATTCAGATTAAAACAAAGAAAAAGAAAATGAAACCATTTTGATTTTGCAAAATCAGTCAGCAGCATGGGCCTTGTGCACTTACACCATTCGCACCACCTCAAGCCAGCCCTGGGGTTGGGTCTGTATGTATTTGGGACAACCTTTGAAAATATATTGTAGGATAAATGGAACAAGACAATGCAACACATGGGCAATCTGCCAAGGTATTCCTCCCAAGAATTCTATGGGAAACTGATCCCTACTTAGATGTTAGTTGAGTTAAGAAAACTTTACTTGGACAGTCCATTAGTGAGGCATTAACCTGCCTTCAATTTATCATTATTCACTGTTTTTATCCAACTGGTCAGTGGCGGGCTCACTGAATATATATCTCCTTGCTTTTAACCCTTTTGTGAATGTGACTGAAATTGTGTGAGGCTTTGTACAGGGTCCTCAACATACTTAAAAATGTTTTATTATAAAAAAAGAAATAAAATAGAGCAAAACAAAAAACGTCATTCGTTCATTCACTGAGTTTATTTTATAAACAGTGTAAGTCCTAAGATTGAAATCTCTGGTAGGATTGGAATTCGGCATCTGATTAAATGTTGATGTTGCCACTCCTGTGATCTAAGCTGGGTTTGCATTACACCTAGCAACAAGTGACCATTTAGAGGATAAGGACAGGACTCTGAAACCAATTGGGATGGTTGATCAAAAGACCACATTAATAAAATCCTGTGTTTTGAGGACACAAGAGTGCCTTCTCTACCAAAAGTTTTTTCACCTAAGCCTTTTCCACAAAGTCCATTTTCCTCCAAAAAAAGTGCAGTTCTCTCTCCATCAAAAGACAAGTTCCTTCTTTCGTTTCTACTCAAAGTCCATTCTTCATTCTGCTTGTGGAGTTCTATGTGTTTCCTGAGAAACACACAGAACTCCACAAGCAGAATGAAGAATGCATGACAAAAGCACAAGCATTAACATTGAGGTCAATCCTGCTCTATGCTCCTTTTGGTTTACATCTCTCTGTGGATCCAAGAGACTCCATTGAACAAAGACAACCCTGGAACCATCAAAGCAACTGTAAACTTTTGGACTTTTATGGAACTGAACCCATCAAGGAAGCACCTAGAGTTTTGTAAGCTGTCTTTCATCTAATAAACGAGTTGTTTGTAAATGTCCTCTAGACTGCATCTGCAAAATCACACATATACATGATTTCACCCTCATTATTAATCATCATATTATGATTTAATCTTAATGATAAATTGACCATAGCTAAAAGTAGCATAGAAAACGATTATGAACAAATTTACTTAGTACATATTGATCCTCATAGTTACAATATGCTAATTTCATAGATACGTATATAATATTTGAAATCATAATAAATACATGTAAGCCAGTTTTTATGTCAGATGTTCTGTACAGTATATATGAGTAATGTAATTAAGTGCTTCTGCAGGATAGAGCCAGAGGCAGGAACGTCAAAATCACATGACAGCTACAGCCAATTACCACGATTCATTCTTACTTCTAAGTGCATCTCAAATTTGACTCAATTCCAATCTTTATGTTACTACTAGGTAGCCTGACAGCTCAATTAATGTTAGCTCACTTAAAATTAAAATTTTAAAACTTTTTTGAAAAGCAGGCAAATTTATAAAACAAAAATTTGTGAAATTACTAAAAAAAAATTTAAATAAATTTAAACTTGATGATCTTTTCTGCAAAACAACACTAAAACAATTTCTATAGTTATTTTTTTGTTGTTTAAACACTATGTAGTGTAATAAATTCAAACACTTGGCATTCTTTCATCTTTATTTTCTACATAGTGTTTAAGCAACAAAGATTTACAACACAGTTTCGGATTATCAAAAAATTTCTATAGTTTTATTGCAAAAGAAAAAAAAATTTACACTTAATTAAAAGATTGTAATTAAGAGTTTAAAAAAATGCAGGCAAAATTAAATAAATAATAATAATAAATAATTATAAAAACTTAAATTAATATAAATTAAATAAATTAAGCCAAAAATTAATTAAAACTCTATGGAAAACCAAAATAAAGACTAATTAAAATCAAATCAATTGAAAGTTAATACGTTTTTAAAAACCATTTAAAAGTTGTTTTGAAATTTTCAAATTGTAAATCAAATTAATTTTTAAATTTATGTTATTTGTGTATGGCAGTGACTGAACATTTTGCTTTTATATACATACACAGATAAATATTAAAAATAATATAAAAACTAAAACTAAATTTGTATATGTGTATTTTGTATATAACAAAAGGTTATTATTCAAAAATCAAACTTAAAGAACAGTTGCTATGGGAGCAAATGAATAGCTGTCTCTCCAACTCCAAGTCAAAAGTGAAGTCTTTTCGTGTTCCCCCATGACGTTAATTGCAGCCCCAATATCAAAAGTATTATATGTTTAAAAGTTAAACTTCTTTATGTTAAAAAAGGATGACTGATCAGGATTATGCATGATGGAGGTGTTCATATGTGTCTTGAGGCACTGAGACAAACATACCTGGTGGCGTAAAACCATTTATTCAAGAGACAGTGCTCTTACAAGCTCTACTGAGATGTCTTCTGAGCAGCACAGATTCAATCTCAGGATTACAGTTCTTATTAGATGGAAAATGGCCTTCCTTTGATAATCATAGATGAAAACAAGTGGACATCAATGATGATAAAGAGAGTTGTATCCCTCATCACACAAATCTCGGATCCTTTGGCTTGCTGGGTCTTCTGGATGGATATACAATTAGTCTTGCATGACAACTTTGGTCCAAAACTAACTTGTAAGAAGAAGAATGCAAAGAGAGAATCTGATGAGTAATAACTCACTTGTTGAAGGGTTCAGTGAGTTGGACAGAAGTATTATGAAAGGTGAAATGGACGGATGATTAGTAGTCACTGGTTGAAAGAGACCTGTCCCAGAGATGGAACTTGAAGGAACAACTGAACAAAGAACTGTGAAAAAGAAGTTCCATACCCTTGAAACACAAGTTTTTAACTGCTCAGTCCTTTCAATGTACCAGACATTCCAATTAGTCTCAACTTCCTGACCATGCTTTCCAACTGGTCTCACACCTGTTTTCAGAGGTAATTCAAAATTAACTCACACAGCAGAAATTGATGCTGAATTCCAATCCCAACTGTAGATGGTTAATCTTACACTGTTTATCTCTGTCCTAGTGTCAGATAAATATCAAACAAAATATTTTGTCTTTCTAAACTTTTTTCTTTCTATTCAAAATTTCAGGGCAATTCCAGGTGAAGGGTTCAGACCCTGTGTGGAACCTCAGTTTGACAATTTAAAGAGTATGATTTTTCCAAATAGGCATGCAGAGAATGAAATAAATCAGCATTATAGAACATTAAAATTATAATAATTTTGACAATTTCATATACATTTTATTATTAATAACAATTATTTTTATGATTTAATAATACAATAGATATACCTCAGTAATGGGAGTATCTATAACTCTTTTATCTCCATACTTTTTCCACAATCCACGACTAACCTGTAAAAAATATCTTTTTAAATCACATGAATAAACTGTAAAAATAGACCTAAAAAGAAAAGAAAAAAATATACAGTTGTCCCTCTATAGTCCGAGTTTTTTAATCCGACATGCTCAGTAGTCTGACGCACCTCCCGTCAAGGTCCCTGTTACGTGTCTGCTTGCACAGAAGCATGTCGCGATGTGAATCTCCCCATCCAATTCTTACTCGATGACACACATTTCGTGTGTTTTATGTGAGCAGTTCTGTTCGAACAGTTGGAGTAGAGAATATTGTAAGTTACTGCTAGCAAAACAATGCGAAATATGTAATTATTTTTGGTAATCCGGACACTTTTGGTAATCTGACACACCTTTGGTCCCATACCTGTCGGATTATCAAGGGACAACTGTACTTTAAAATTACATACTTTGTAAGCACCATCATACATGGCAACTTCTTCACCCAACAGAAATACTCTTTCATCTCTTTCCATCTCTTCATCCATAGCAGAATTTAGTGCTTCTCGAACTGTCATCTAATATAATTCAAATCAATTAGACAATTTAAAGTGAGAAATTCATGAAGTGTATCTGACATTTAATATTTGATGAACATAAAAATAATTTTTGATTTAAATTAACACAATAAAAAAGATTAATTAAGGCCTTATTTAAACTACAAAATTTATTTATTTTGTAACAAAAGTAGATTTAAAATATGTTTATAATTTGTCAAATTTATTTAGATGACTTCTTGAGTATTATTATTTCAGTTTAAAAACAGCAATAATTGAAGAATATAACAAAATAAGTTATTATTAAAAGGAATTATAGAAATTGTTGAATTAAGAATTATGTCACTTTAGTTAATTGTCCACCAGTGGCTGAATGGATAAAACCACTAAACACTGGTAGTTTGTTGTGGGTTCATGCCTTGGCAATGGGATGGCCACATAGTTTTCCAGGTTTCTTCATGTTTGTAACATCTAAATAGGGGCCAGTTTTCCATAAAAATGTTCCCTTTGGCAGATTTCACACATCTTGCTTTGCCATATACAAATAAACCAAACTGCTTCAGTTAATCATAAAATCTTTATTGTGGATTTTATGTTAAAAATAAAACTGTACAAGTAGTTGAAACATAATATCACATATCCACTAATATACATAATTATAAAATATCTTTAATCAAGTACAACTATAAGCAGTGAATATTCTATAGGCTAACAAACACATATATACTTGTAATATGGAAATCCAACTAATAAATATTAGTTGCAACCACAACTAAATCAAACTAACTTGAAGCTATCTGAAGTCTTGGTAGTACAGTGGGTGATCGGTTAAGGAACAAATCGGATAATGAACACTTTCACGAAAGATTTTTATGATCGGATAACGAACACTTCACTGAACAAACATAAAAAGAAGCGATGGAAATAGCAAATACCGATAGGCAGGCACTCATTAAGTTTTGCGTCGGTTTTTATTTTTGAAAGGTGAGAGTATAATAGCAAAGGTAGAGAGTGGGCAGAAGATGTCTGATGTTGCTGGGCAGTATGGTTTGAACAAATCTACAGTAGGGTGCAGTTCAATCTTATCTAAGAAAGATACTGTATAATTAAGAAAACTCGAGCAGCTAAAGGAGTAACAAATATCACATCTGAGAAATAAAGAACATTGAAGAGCTCATAATGGAACCTGAAACAAATCTGACGACAGAAGAACGCCAAGAACTCTTGAATGAAGAACACCAAGAAACTCTGGGAGATATGTTTTATTATGAAAAAGAGGATTAATGCCGATATCTGCTATTAACTAAAGATCTTTTGAAGAAGTGGGGGATGTCAGATCAACGGTCTTAGAATGGCATACAAACCAGGTTGAGGTTAATAAGCTTGATGATCTCTACAATTACAATGCTATTAATTCTGAAAATCCTGAAGAAAAAAAAGCAATCAACATTAGACAGATTATTTAACCCCCACAAACAAACAAAACATGAGTAATAAAAATGCAAGTCTGTGTATATATGTATTTTTATTATTACATATAAATAAACGTAGTAAGAAAGTATATATTTTTTATTTTTTGGGGTCTCCAGAATGAATTAATCAAATTCCCATAAAAACCTATGGTAAATTGATAATCAGTTAACAAACAATTCGGATAGCAAACAAAGTCTTGAAACGGATTATGTTCGTTAACCGATCATCCACTGTATATTGGGTTTTCCATACAATATGGTCTTATTAAGTCAAAATTGTTGCTATTTTTAGTTATCTATTTTACCATGTACCCTCCACATTTTGGTAGATCTGTGATCTTTTTTTCTCTTATATTCTGTGTGAATACAGACAATTAATGTAAACAAACACTACAGTTCCATGCCAAACACAACATCATGCCATTAGAACCTTAAATTAACGTCCTTTTATTGATACAGTATGTTATTGGCATTCTGATTATAACATAAGGAGTGCTTAATAAATACATTCAAAAGCATTATAAACTGTATATAATTTTGTATTCATTCTGTGAATAGATGCTTGAAAAATGGCTTGACAATAAGAAATTTATGGTTACTAATACCAATCATCAAAATACAGTGGAACCCCGGTTAACGAACTTAATCTGTTCCGCGACTCCGTTCGTTAACTGAATTGTTCGTTAACCGAAGCAATTTTTCCCATAGAAATTAATGCAAATGCAATTAATCCGTTCTAGTCTCCGAAATTTTTGTGATTTTATTTGTAATATACAGTAATTTTCTTTGATGAAAATGTAGGAAAACGTAGTATCTATCATTACAGCAACAAACATGTAAACTTTGTTTAATAAAATAGCACTGTACATACCTTCGTTTGTTGTAGTTGGTGGCAGAAAAGTGGAGATATACGAACCTTAATGCTTAGAAGGGGAATCCCCTCCAAAAAAATAACGGGTAGCACTTCATCGGAAGATTCTTCGAGTCGAAGTCTCTTTCGGTAAAAAAAACCCACCAGTGGCTAAGTGGTCTTCGTACCTTGAACACGGGGAGTTCGTTCGTGGGTTCGCACCTCGCTCAGACGGGCTGGCCACGTGGAGTTTTCCGGGTTTTCTCCACGTCTGTAACGCCTAAATAGGGGCCAGTTTCCCTTAAAAACACCTCCCAGAAGGCATTCCCCCTAGGCAGATCGCCCAAGTGTTGCGTTGCCATAACTTAACAAACAAACAAACTCTTTCCGTAAGGAACAAGAAATTGATCTAAAGTTGATTGTCTTACTCTTTTAATCAAAATTTTTCTCAAATGCGATAGCGCATTGTCGTTTATATTGCGTTGTCGTTTTCTATTGCCACTATGACTTTTTTCTTTCTTGGATGCCATATTGATTAAATATATAAATCACAAAACTGAAAAAAGAAGTATAGTACAAACACTCGGAAAAGCAATGCTTAACTCGCGCGTGCCTAACACCAACTAAAATTTGACACAAAATACCGTTACGTTCGTTATCCGAGACAAAATTTTTGCAAAATAAAAGTTCGTTAACCGATTTGGTCGTTAACCAGGACGTTCGTTAACCGGGGTTCCACTGTACTGGTTTAATACATAAATAAATTATACCATCAACACTAATAACCTGCAAAAATGAAAACTCTTACTGTAACTAATGTTTTCTTCCATTTCTAACAGACATCATCAGGTTTAACTAATGTAACTAAAATGGAAGAACAAAAAATAAAAAATGCATGTATCTATAAGTCTTTTACCAGTGTGTCTCATCACACTATACAATAAACTTACAAACCTTTTCAAACCGTCACAGTTCTTCTTCGATAATGACCTCCCTAACGGAATGCTCTTTGATTCAAAGTCGCTATGAAATACGATTCAGAACATTATCCTGACCCGATGACGTCACTACGGACTTACGCGCTATGCAAGCTGTATTCTATCTCAGAGATTCATCTAGTAGGGCCTGCCAGGCCATCGCTAGAGCAACTTATTCCTTGTAGTTAATGCAATTACTCTCTTTAATAGTGTTTAAGCATATGTATATAGCCTCCAGCCATCTGAGATAGTTCGTGCAATGGGTGGTGTGTATGACCTTTGCTTGAGGTCATACACACCACCCAACCTTCAGCAACCTGTTAGTGCTGTTTTGTCAAACTTATCACAATGACTTTGGTATATTATAGCACACTTCTTTTATTCTTTCTAAATACCTTTAACAAAATGCATTTCAGACTGATATCAGTTGTTTTACAATTGTTAAAATTAAACTTTGGTGTACATTCTGGATTATTAAATATATAATTGCTATCCAAAACTTCAAAAAATAACATTATTAAAATCAATGAAACACAAACCACAAGATGAAAGGCACANGCAACCTGTTAGTGCTGTTTTGTCAAACTTATCACAATGACTTTGGTATATTATAGCACACTTCTTTTATTCTTTCTAAATACCTTTAACAAAATGCATTTCAGACTGATATCAGTTGTTTTACAATTGTTAAAATTAAACTTTGGTGTACATTCTGGATTATTAAATATATAATTGCTATCCAAAACTTCAAAAAATAACATTATTAAAATTAATGAAACAAAAACCAAAAGATAAGAAATATATTTAAAATTATAATTAAAGCAAATAGTGAGGAACCATTCCAACTGTTCCTAACTACATACTTTAATTATGATTTCACTTATGTAATCAAGAACAAAATAAAAAAATGAGAAAGAATATAATATAAATATTAATATGCACATTAATACCACTATTTTGGAAACATTACATTTAAAAGAATGTAAATATTTTGAGTATTCTAGAGTATTTGAAATACTAATTCATGTTTCAAATACTAAATAATTATGTTAAGTATATGAAAAATGAAATATAAATGCAGGGTGATTCAAATTAAAGTAACCCTATAGGTCAATGTTTCTCAACCTTTTTGGATTAGTGACACACTTTGAATTAATAAGATTCCTGCAACACACCATAATTTTTAAAATAAAAATGTTTAAAATGTAAAATAAATTACAGTTGATTTAAAAACAATTTTGATAATACAGAAATTTAAGTAACATAAAAGTCTGTACCAGCTGGAATGTAGATAAATTAAACACTACATACAATCTTCCAGCAAATAATAAGTATTTGAATTAAATACAAAATAGAACATTTTTAGCCTTTTACAGGCAAGCATCAATCTGTTTAATGTTGTAAACTTGTTCATTTTAATGAGAATTTTTAATATAGAAACTGAAAAACATTATTTAAGAAATCAAAACTGTGACAATGCCGAAGGGTCCCCTATACTTCGGCACCACAAGACCGAAGGGTCGATATCGCGTCGGCGAAGATCGCAATGACAAGGTTTGTCAGGACTGACACCACTGTGTCTTTATGGACAGACACAGAAACCATTAAGTTCTCGTGTATGTGAGCGAATGGATTCGGGATGGAGGGAGAGACAACGCACCAGAAGTGACTTACGTAGAGACGAGTTAATGTAACAATTGTTTAATTGGTAACAATAGATAATACAGGACATATCATAGACCAAGTGGAATATGATAGATTTAGGCATATGAGAAATGCTAGCTATTATGTAGATATTAGACTGAAATAACTCAAGACCCATGTTTTCCGAGAGAGAGAGAGTTTACAGCAAAAGCGCTTGACGATAAATACCTTATTGAGGATCTGGTCTTGATCTTGAACGTTTTTTTTGTGAAAGAGAGGAAGTTCAGGATGTCAGTTCGGGTATCCTGTAGATGAAATATCCATAAGCCTGATGGAACGTACAGTATCCGCAAAGGTGTTAGACGATGGTTTCCAATGATATTTTAGTAGGATATAAGAACGTAAAATAAAATGATATATTCACAGGTATCCAAATATTGAGGCACTTAGGACAAGGTATGAGTGACAACTGACTCTTTTGAAGGATGGGCGACAACTGCCTTATTTTCTTGATTTTTTTGTTGTTGAACAGATGAAATCGAGATATTAGGTCGAGAGGAGATGAGAAAGCATCATTGTCAGGCCTGAGAACTTAACAGATGTTTTGCTCTCAGGTGCAGAAGTTGACAGTTATGTATCAAGTTTATAGTGACGATGTGACATTATGAGATAATGATGTAAACATAAGGAAAGTCTGGATTCGGATCCTCACAAAACCATTAGGTCAAAATATAGAATATAGTTTTATTAATCCTATTGCTTATCTGAAGTTTACTATACATCTTTGTGAAATTCGAAGTTCATATAATTTCATAAAAGAAGTTAATCCTTTAAATTTATAATAAATTCCTTTAACTAGAGGAATTTGAACCTACAAAAATGAAATATAAAGTGTATGAGAAGTTTATAACTCTTTCTATTTAACTATAAACATTCTCACGATCAACCCGTATATAGTTTACAATTACTGGCAAAATTCGTCATAATGTTGTCTTTCTAACACCAACTTTAACCTCACACCTGCTAAAACAATTGGTCACCTGACGAATTTTCCCACCACAAAACGTATAAAAGCCCTCCTCCTTCCCTTCTCAGGGGAATCGCCAATCGTGAGTCGAAATGTTAAAGTTGGACATCGCCTTCTCCCTTGCAGACCTACACTTGTGTCACCGTTCAGAATCCATTTGGACGACATCACGGGAAAATATTCCACTAGTATATGCAAAGAGGTATGAACGCATATTTATAAACTCTCTCTCTCTCCGCCATCCGTGTAGTAGCAGGATAGGTTGATATAACGGAACTTAGAGTAATAAGGTTTGTAAATTTTTCTGTAGATGATTGTAATAAACTCTTGTTTTGTTTTTAAATGGTGTCTTTACTTGACGTAGCCAACGTCTTATCGTCGACCCCTCCCACTCTCCTTCACTTGCGTAACGCGTAACAAAATGTAAACGCCATCCCTGACAAGAAAGTACATCACTGACCAACTGTCGAGAGGAGAGGAATTTCCAATCTGCCCGGCAGCTCACATCTTGAATCATAACAATTGAATATAACTTCACATTTACTATATATCTATTCTTTTAATTTGAAAGAAATGTGATTATTATTAAATGTTATATATATATATATATATATATTTTTTTTAAATTCATTTCCTGGTTCGTTTTATATACTTCTCCATTCCAACCACCAGTCAGTAGTAGTGTTGTAACGAATAGTATATTCGGCCTCAGGTCGAATACCGAATATTCGGCCAGGAGCGTGGCCAAATAGCCGAATATTCAGCCAAATTATTCGGCTTGATTAACGCACTTACGAAAATTGGCGCGCAAACGGCATTATGGCAAGGACCCTGCTCTCTATTGGCCCGCTGTCACTACGCTTCGCCAATCGCGTTAATTCTTGACAGTTGTAGCGGACAGACAAGAGCATCATGGAAGTATGTGATAAATGATGATATCAAATGTGGATAACAATGAAATCACCTACATGTGTAAATAACGGAAAAAGAACAGAGAAGGACCGCGAAGTGAAGATGTGAAAATAAATAAGAAATTGAGTTGATAACATAATCGAACAAGTCAAGGCAGCTTATTTGCACAAAATTCGCACCCGTCAATGCCAAACAATTGTTGTCATAGACTTCGGAAAGCCAAATGCTTGTAATGAAAATCACTTAGCGTGCACGGGCAAAAGCCTGGTGCCATTCGGGCTATCAAGCTGTCTCGAATCTGTGAAATCATAACTGTGACTTATATCGACGTCCTATCTGTCTCTTTTCTCCGTTATCACCAGGCTGTCACGTAATTGTAAAATGGGAACTCTATGACGGAAAAGTGACGAATCGAAAAGTATCGTGAGCGCGTATTATCATGTATGCACAGGCATACGTGGATTAGAGCGATAGANTAGAAGTAATTTTTTAAAATATCCTGTTTTGTGATAAAGTTTTAATACTTATTATTATAATCTAGACATGTTAATCCTTAAATATACTTGTATATTGGGCCACAAGTATATATTATATATACTTGTGGCCCAAAACTCCTTGACTTCTTCCAATGCGGCCCAGAGAAACAAAAAGGTTGGACACCCCTGCTCTACACCTTAACCCTTTTTATTATTGTAATAAAATTAAAATTAATATTTATAGTTTAAGGTATTTATATTTTATTTTTTCAGGCACAATAGTGCACCTTTCTCACTTTTTTCAGTACATCTTTTGCTACCAAGTGAGATCAAGTATCCAAAGGTGTCCTGCGCAATTATTTTTGATAATAGACACCCTACTGTATTTTTGAATAGTCACAGATTACATTTCTTCTTCAGTAATATTCATTCATATACAGTAGTGTTTCTCAATCTTTTTCTCATTGCAGACCAATAATTATATAGAACTATGAATTATGGTTATATGTGTTTATCCAGAATTACTGTACATAACAAAGTATGTACAGTAACTCTAGATTACTATTTAAATACCACCCATAATCAACTACACCAGCATCAGTATGGTCAAATATTTTTTTGGATCTGCACCAATTCACGGACCAGCAGTTGAGAAACACTGATATATGGTATATTCTCACAGAATTTCACTAATGCATAAATTATGAAAACAAATATTCAAAGAAAAACAATTTTGAATTAAATACTTAAAAAAATTTAATTATAATTATTAAAACAATTAAAATTTGAAACAATGTAGATTTTAAATTACCTGAGCTGCTAATGGTTTTGCTATTGAAAATCTGCATATTTGTTGTTTAATAGAATTCTGAAACTATAAAATATATGATTATTATATAAAATAAATATAAATACAACTACTTTTTGTATATATTATAAAACAATATATATAATTTACAATGTGTATATATCACATAACATAAATAACTAATAGTATTTTTAATTAATTAAACTCCTTCATGCTTTATGAATTTTTCTTTCTTAGATTTAAAACATTTGAAATACAATAGAATTCTAATAATCCAAGCTCCATTTAACAAATGTAAATCTGTAAGTGAATACACTAATGTTTTTATAAAAGCTTTGTCATGACAGTATCAAGTACTTAAATACTGTAATACTTTTAACCATGAATGTATGCATGAGCAAGTGGCTGATGCAGAATGTTGCAACAAATTAGAGAGGAACCATCATAAAACAAAAACTCTAAAAGGACTTGTGACCAAGTGGATAAAATCACTGTGCAATGGTAGTTGGTTGTGGGTTCACACCTCACCAATGGGCTAGCCATGTGAAATTTTCCAGGTTTTTTCGTGTTTGTATCACCTAAATTGGGGCCAATTTTCCATAAGTTTCCCAGGAGACATCCTCCCCTTGACAATTGCCCGTGTGTTGTGTTGCGTTAACTAAATTACAAAATGATTTTTTTCTGCTTCCTCTTATCACTTAACTTTGGTTAATGATGGTTAGTTAATGATTTATCTCACAAATTATTCATATTAAAATGTAACTCAGATATTGATAACTAGGTCTATAGAAGTTAAATAAATATCTGTGAAAGCTATCAACATGCTTGTAAAACACTCTTTGCATTATTAGTGTATTTTATCTTATTTTCTTGTATATTGTTTGTTTGTGTTTTTACATATTTCAGTTTGAATGTAAAAATCGTACAATCTTAGTTTTTAAAAATTTTGTTTGAATTAAAAAAAATTTTTTTTATTTAAATTTTCAACAAACTTTCTTGTTCAAATTTGAAAATGATACTGTCTATATTCAATCTTAATTAAATTGCTGCTTTATTCAATCGTAAAGCAGTTAAACATTTGGATCTGATAAAACCTGAAAAGTGTTATATTGCATTAAAAAGTTGATTCATTTAAATGATTTCAGTTATTTCTGTTTCAAGTTTAACAATAGAATTTTCTGATTCAGTATCAAAAAAAGGCATCAGACATTACACAAGGAGCTTCAAACTCTACGATTCAACATCAGATCAGCACTCCCACAGGCTGGTACTGGTTGCACTCGGGCTAACTTGGTCTTGAAAACGAGGAATGGGATCTTGGTCAACGTACAATGAAGTTACATGGGTTAATGGACAAATATCATCATTAGTTTCTTTTATATTTATAGTATAGGCTAAAAGTCACAAATTTTCTGTTGTTTGGGCCCCTTGGGGATTAGGAAAAGGGCAATCAAGACGAAAAGGGGACACTTGCCCCAATGTACAGATGCCCATGGTACAAACCATTAGATTATCATCTTAAATAACAATCCAGATGATTAGTTTCTCCTATTTTTAACCAATAGTAACCAATAGTGTTTTTGTAGAGAGTTTAGAATAATGTTTTCATATGTGTAATTTTATATCATCTCATATATTTTGAACTAACTAGAAAGATAGTACAGGAGATCACAAAAAAAAAAAAAAATAATAATCACACATTTAAAATCCAGCAATGAATTTAATAATACAGTATAAGAACATTTTCGACCATTTCACTGACCACCTTCAATTGCAATAGAACAAAGAATAAATAAAATAAAAAGTAAAAATAAACAAATTATTCATTTATTTTTACTTTTTATTTTATTTATTTTATTAATTTCAACTATGATTGCTGTTATTTATTTATTTTTTAGAATTCTTGTTCTCATTTTTAAATTTTTGTATTCACGTTTTTCTATTTTTCTGTTCTAATGTAACTGAAAGCGGTCAGTGAAACTGGTCGAAAATGTTCTTATTTTATTAACTTAATTCCTGGATTTTAAAGGTGTGATTTTTGTTATATCATCTCAGATTTCTAAAACTGTAAAATATATAAACACTTATATATTTTACAGTTACCAAATAAACCATTCCCAGTTCATAACCAAACAGAAAAAATCTTTCTACAAACGTTTTCATCTATATGTAATAGACGTCCTCGGGTATTGACGTTATATAGATGAAAACGTTCGTAGAAAGATTTTTTCTGTTTAGTTATGAACTGGGAATGGTTTATTTGGTGAGTGTTATATAATTAAGTATCCAGTTTTTTGAAATACACTTTTTTACATACAGTAGAACCCAGATTACCTGAGGTAACATGGACCAATGTTATCTCAGATAAAGTGGATGACCATACCCCTTTAAAAAATTATAAAATATTTATATGTTATCACTTTTAATCCTCTTTTGACACCTTAATAAATTTAATCATATATAATAACAGCATTTTTTACATCATTCATTAGGCAGTTAACATAAAGAATAGTTTTACGAATAAAAAAAAAATGTATTATTGTAGTTATATTTTAAAAATAATATCAGGTCAGTCCATAAGTTCATGCTATTTTATGATCTTGACAAAAATCTTGTTTTGCTGTTAAAAATGTCAGTCTAATGTGATATTTTTTACACTGAAGTGTTAAATTGGATCTCATTCATATAATACTGTTCAGAATTGAAAACATTTCAGTTGTTTATTTTCGTTAAAATGGAAGTAATAGATGAATATGAGAGACATGTTTTATACTTTTTATTTTTAAGTGGTGAGAATGCTACAAATGCAGCCAAAAAATTAAATAATGTTCATAATCAAACTGTAATTAGTGTAAGGACTGCTAGAAATAATGATTTTAGTGTGGAGGATAAGGCTCGTACTGGAAGACCCGTTGACTTTGATGATGATGCTCTCTCTGCACTAGTTGAAGCAGAACCATCTTTAACAGTTGATGAAATTGCAGAACGTTTAAATTTATCCCATGGAACTGTTCATAGACATCTACAACAAATTGGAAAAGTTTCAAAGCTACGAAAATGGATACCACATGAACTGTCAATAGCTAACCGATAACGTGTAAACATTTGCACGTCTCTTTTATCCCACATTACTTTAAAACCTTTTCTTGATCGGCTGGTTACTGGAGATGAAAAATGGATCCTCTATAATAATGTCATGAGAAAAAGACGATGGACAGATCGCGACAAGCAGCCAAAACTGGCTGCAAAAGGTGGGTTGCATCCAAAAAAAATTCTTTTGTCTGTTTGCTGGGATATGTCAAGTATAATTCACTTTGAGCTGTTAGAACCTAATCAAACAATTACAGCCAAATGTATTGTGATCAATTAGAGCGTTTAAATGAAAAATTGAAAAAAATTGATTGTCATTAGTGAACAGAAAGCATGTTCTCTTGCAACATGACAACGCCAGACCACATGCTGCAAAAATAACTGTAGAGAAACTCAAAAGCTTCAACTGGGAAATTTTACCTCATCCACCATATTCACCAGATATTGCTCCCAGTGATTATCATCTTTTTCGGAGTTTGCAGAATTTTTTAAAAGGGAAAACTTTTGAGGATGAGAGCAATGTAAAAAAGGCTATTTCTGAATATTTTTATTCAAAACCGAAATCATTTTGTGAAGACGAGATTAAAATGCTACCATCAAGATGGCAAGAAATTGTACAAAATAATGGTGAATACATTATAGATTGAAATAAAATTTAATTAAAATTTTTTTGTTGCTTTTTTTGTAGATAAAAATATGCACAAACATATGGACTGACCTGATAATTTGCAAGATAAACCATTAACCACCAAAGTTAAATGATAAAAGCTAACAGAAAAAAATCATTATGTTGTTTTAAACTTAATAAAGTCCTTGTTTTGTAGTGGTTCCTCACTAATTTGTTGCAACATTCTAACACATCAGATATTTCTATTCCTGACATCATTGACTGCCACATCAATGTCCTCATCAACTGTGCAAGAACCAACTCTGCTTACTAACCACTTTCTTTATACCCGCAACATCTGCACAACTGACCAGTGCAAATACTGCCCAAACAAAACAGACACAACCATACACCACCTCAATGAGTGTTCAAAATTCGACAACATCAGGGGAAGAATCCTCTCCAACAACAGTCTAACAAAAAATCATCATCTCAATATCAGAGACTGCCTCCAATTAAACCCAAAAGACATTTGCGTTCAATCCTTATCGACCTTTTTTAATGAATACAAAAATACCTACAGCTACTAAATCAATTTAACTTTTTCTCATCTCTCATTATGTCTGCCAACGGTCGACAAACAGTTAACTCATCCACCCCAACATGTGTACTGATTTTACCAAACATTTCTTCTAGACCTTCCAAGTTTTTCAACTAGAGATCACCATCTGTTTCTCAATCCAATTCTACTCACGTGGAATAACAACTACATGGGGCAAAATAGCCAACGTAGCTAATGCCTAACTTCACCGCCAGAGGGCAGCAAGCAAGCAAGCAACATTCAGCATCACTGTCTCAGTTAAGTCAAGGTGAAAAGTATTATAGTATTTAAGTGCTTGGTACCTTCACAGCAAAACTTTTACAAATTATAATAGCAATAATATATTTGCTTACAAATTTACTTCAGTTAATTGAGACTTGGATATTTGACATTCTACTGTACTTCCAAACTTTAAAATTTAAAAATCACATTCCAAAAAAAGAACTTTAACACCTTTTCTTAAAACAAAATTACAATGGAAAGCATTAAAAAAAAAAGCAAAAAAAGTTGCACTTTATTACATTACGATGGCTGCATTCAGCAGACTCAACAGTTTCAGATCTGTTGAGTATTTTTCTGCCGAATGCCCTCTACAGTAGCACTGTTTTAGAGCACGTTTGATATTTTGATGTCACATTTAGTAGCATCTCTCATTTATGCTACTTCAAACTGACCAATGATGGCCGCTTTTTGTTCCAATGCATAAGTCATTCATCGTTCAGACATAACTACGTAACAGCTACAGATTGAAATACCTTTGCTCAGTTACAACCGTTGACTCTGCCGAACGCAGCCAATCACAAAACTTAAGCATAACCATTGCATCTAATAATATATTTCTTAACATTTGCTCTGCATCATAATACTGAAATAGATTCAATTTCTACATTTTTTGTATTTAAATACCATTAAATTTGAATATAATCACCACTTTACAACTTATAATACTACTTTTTAAAGCTAATACTTTGTAATTTATTTCTGTAATTATTATTCCTGTTTAAGTAGTATAAAATTTACAAAATACTTAAAGAAATTGATGTAATTCGGCATTTAAAGCAGGAAACATTAAAAAATAACTGTATATTAATATACAAAAATATGTATGTGTGTGTACATAGATATATATTTGCACAAATCTGGAGAATTACAATAAAATTTAAGTTAAAAACGACGAAACAATCGAGCCATTAAGCATTACATCACGGATAACCTTAGGATACCTTTAAGATTCTTGGATTTAAAGAGGACAAATATCTAACCGCCGCCATCTTGGATACTCCAAATGACCGTAATTTGTCCCCTGATAAAATAAACATAATTTAAACTTTTTTAATCGATTTAATTACTTAAACTGTTTAAAAACTTTTACTAAATAAAAATCGTAATATAAATAATAAAATTACTTCATTTCGATAAATTATTAATTATGACCACTAGTTTTTAAATCACGTGATTCCGTCCTTTTAGACCTTGAGCTCGCCATTTTGGGTAGGATCGGTCTTTTGAGTTTAAGAAATAACAAATAAAAGCGATATATAATATATTTTATTCGGTTTAACTTATTTTATTTCGATTATTTTTCGCGTTTCCTTACAGAAAAATGTTTAAACAATTATTAGAAGCTTCGAAAAACAATCCATTTCACGCAAGATGCGAATCCAAGACCGGCCGATCGATTTCTGATGCTTCTACCGAAGGTAAATACAAAAAGTAAAAGTTTTATAAATGATTATTTTACTCCTTTTGAGTGTTAATTAGAGAATAAACCGGAAACATTTTTAAAAATAATATAATTTTAGCTAACACTCCATTATTTCAGTAGGTTAATCTTGTTTTATTGAGGTTAAAGTTTTTTATAGGTAAATAAAATGAAATTTAAACGTCTGTAAAGAATACTTTAAGACATTTGTTTATAAACTGCTATTCTTGGAAATTTTCATTACTTAATGAATAACGTATCAATCTTTGATTCTGCATATAGGGTGATGATTAGCCAAATTTTTTCATTATATTTATAATAAATTTTACTTTTTAAACGGGCATTCGTTAAATTAATGGGTAGATGTTCACCTAGGTAGCCGCAACGGCGGTATCATGTTTAACAATTTAGTCCACATGACTGTGCCAGCTTCGAGTAGCCCACTTGACTGTTGATGGAGTACTCAATCTTATATAGTTTCAGGGGATGTGGGGGATTGCCCCACTTGGGTGCTGAGGTGTGAGTGATAACGAGCACCAAGGCACACATGGTAGATTGATACATGTTAAAAACTGACCTTCAGAGACAAATATCACGCAAAGGAAGGGCCAACAATAATAGGGATGGTGTGATTTATGTAAAAAATGTAAAATAAAACATCAATTTTGCTTAAAAAGTAGTGAAAACGACCGGTGCCCCGTTAACAGAGATGCTGCCATTGGAGCTACCTAGGTGACCATTTACCAATTAATGTATTGACTTACTAATTATAATTATTATTATATACTATAAATATATACAGTATATATGTCACAGCCACATGATGATATTTGTCATTTCATGAATTGGTACATCTAATAGATATTTAATTAAAACATTAATTAAAAATTTAAACATGCCAGGACAAAATTAATACAATACTAATTTAATGCATAGAAGTATCACAAAAAGTGTCTTCTTAATTTCTAACATCCTTTACACCTTGGGAACTAACATATTTTTACATATTGAGGCAGGAAAAGTAGCCTATAAAAGAAGGTTGACTCCACTGTCAGGACTGTTTGTTCCCGAGGTGAAAAGGACATCAGAAATTAAGAAGACACTTTTGTGATACTTCTATGCATTAAATTTATAATGTATTAATTTCATTATGGCATGTTTAAGTTTTTAATTAATGAGATAGATTTTTAATATTAATTAAAAATCTATCAAAGTTTAAAAGTTTGGCATGCCTAAACGTTTTTAAAGATAAATACTATAATTGCACATGGACTTGAAAAGTTTGCCATCCTTGATACAGTGCATTGAAATATTCATTGCACTTCCAATTTTATTTGCTATAACCATATTTTTTACTTATCTAAAGCAGGACCAATTCTTTTTTAAAATTAAAACAAAACTAATTAAACATTCAATTCATTTGAATGTTTTGATTTTAACTGATTAATTTAATATTGTTTTTGTTCAGTAGAAGCCATTGTGTATGCTAAACTTCATTCATAAGCTTCTGTTTGCTAATCCAGATTCATAATTGCAAGATATCAAGTTATCAGTTTTTTTATTTCTAATTTAATGCGTTATCTTAGCTCTTATCATTTTTAAAAGTGAAATTTATCTTATAACACATCAAAAGTGCATGAAAGAAAAATTATCATTAATATTTTTAATAAGTTTTTTAGTTTATTTTCATTAACATGTCAGTAATTAAAAAAAATTATCGTAATGATAAAAAAATAGAGTACAGGTAATTCTCATATAATGTAATAGTTAGGTTCTTATAAAATCTTATATAATGCAAAACTGTGTTATACAAGACTAAGAGTGAATACAAAAGAGAGTTACTTTTCAAAAGTTAACAAAAGTATTCTATTCTTTTATTTTTAACAAAGTCATTATATTTATATGACTATTAAAACTTGCTTTTTGTTAAAAACTAGAAATTCTCCAAGCATGATGGGCTACTTTCTTGTAGAAATTAGTCCATCATTTCTATGAGAAAGTAGAGATTGAAGAATTGAAAAGAGTACAGATTTCAAGAAATTCAAGAATAGCTAATGCTCCTACAAATTAAGTAACTTATACTGCCTATTGAATGCTTCAATACATTTACAGCACAATACATTTTAAATAACGGGCTTGCTAGATTGTTACTTTTGATTGGATAATAGAATATCATGTGGTCACTATAAAAAGTTTTTTTTTTAATTGTTGTAGAAGCAACACAATGTGGCAATCTTTTTTTAAAGTTTAAATTTAATGAAGTAAGTTTAAAATATGCCATTTGCCAAAATATTTAAAAATGCAACTTAAGTGCGATCACTCATCTGAAATCGATAAAAAGTTTATTCTACAGCTAAAATTTCCATAAAATAAATAGTCTATACAAGTAATAATCAAATTTTTACGTAGCTGTTCAATGGTCTTTAAGCTGAAGATAATGTTTAAAAAATTGTCAAAAATGTTTATTTTATTTTTTGAGTTTGTGTTGGTATTTTTTGAGTATATTTCTGGTATAGTGAAGTGCTTTGGACCAAATGTCTTATAATGTAATGTATATGTCACAAATGCACTATTCATTTTAAGTTTCCACTCTTCATTGCTGCTAGCACAATAAAATGAAAATGTTCATGTTGAAAAATATCTTGACCTTCTGAATTTTCTTTTGTAGCATTTTGATTTTATTTATTCTCTGTTATCTTTAAAAATTAGTAACCTTGGTTTATTTGCTTTTGCTTCATAATCTTTGTATGCAGCTAAGCATTTATGAAGCTCTTTGAATTGTCTGCTTCTTTTAGTTAAAGAAGCCACGTTCAGAAAATAAAATTCTAATTTTTCAGTTAAGCCTATGTCTTTCTGTATTCTTTTTAGTTTAAAATTTAGAATTTAAGAATTTTTATCTATGTCTGATATCTGATATCTGATGTCATTTCTACGAAATTACTTCTTTACTATCTTTTTTCTACTAGTACAGATTGTTTCATATATCTTGGCCAGGAAACTCGCAGTAAACAATCAGGCCTCTGGGAGTTTTAAAGTTCTAGAGCCTCTTTTTGGTAGCTATATTGATCTTGTTACAAATTTGTCAATTTGTTCCTTTTACTAAGTAAATAGACTGATCCCTGCTACTGTGCAGTTTTATAGCTTGGCTATGATTCATGAAACAAGCTGTAATTCTTGAATATTTTCAATAGTCATATCACTAAAGCCTTCCTTTTCTACTGACTTAACAAATTCTACTATTGCACAGGTTTTATTTTCTGCTGATTCAACATATTTTTGAATGAACTGACTGGTCATGCATTTTTCCAACACACATCTAATGTTAATGGCTTTATTTCTTCAAATGATCAATTAGTAAAAAATGAACTAATCTTTCATAGCATATGAATTACTAGTGAAGTGAAGCAGCTAGTGTGGATATTTGGATAATTTTTAATTTGCACTTATTTTAATTTAATCTGTGTTATAAAAAATAATTGTTATTATGACCCCATTTTGTAGTGATTTGCTCAGTTCTCTATTTTCAGGAATACATCTTGAGCATTAACTGATATATGAGAATATATTAAAGTTGTATTAATGGTATCTGTTTTACAATAGAGATGAAATTTGATAGGTACTTATTATATAATGTAACTTGTTTTAAGGAGAATTTAGAAGCATTTTTCCTTAGATGAAAGTTATATACAGCTTGTTTCAATCAAATTTACAAATTTTTTCAATCAGCTAAGATTCATGAATCTTAGCTGATTGAAAAAATTTGTAATTTGTAAATTTGTAAGATTCATGAATCTTAGCTGATTGAAAAAATTTATAATAGTAAGAATCAGTCTATTTACTTAGTGAGAGAATTGTTTGATGAATCTTTGACAGGTCACTGTGATTATATTAAGATTTTATTATTGTTGCTTTTCTTCTCCTATATAATATAAATTCAAAGATGTTTTTACTTTCTGTATTACATCTGCACAATACACTTTTGAGTTACACTTCAAGTTCTGTGAAGATTTTAATAGAAAATTAGAATCACGTTTCAGAAAAATCAATAATCCAGTGTAATTAATATTATATTTCTATGCTTAAAACTTCTGTACTGTTACTAACTTTGGTAAAAATTTATTAAAGTTCTTCAGTTTATTTAGGGCTCAAAGACAAATTGATTATATGATGGTTACAATTTCCTTTCCATTGCATAGTAAATTACACTTAGCAAAAATACTTTAGTTTTTCTATTGCTTGTACAAAGCCTGATGTATTAATACTAAACCAAGCAATTGCCATAATTATTATAATTATTAATTTAGATAAGAGATGTCACCTAAGGGTGCGACTATTCAGATGTAAGTGAGAATATGTGACGAGAAGAGGTGAGATATGATCAAACCCTGTCAGATATATGCGAGAACCAGAAATTCTTTGTGAGAACTATATTGCTCACAACCTCTTGCTTGCTACTAAATTTGTGTCTGCATAGTTGCACCCTAATATCTACCTCTAGTAACAAATTACTTATTTTCTGTTGCCTGTATCATCATCATTATTGCAATTTATTTTAATTATTACAAAGTTAATTTTATGTTTATATTATCGTTAAAAATTTGAAAAAAAATTGATAAATGACATCAATTTGTGTTAAAGAAAAACTAACAGTTTTGGAAGAAAAAGATTAAATGCTGAAAGAAAATTTGATATTGCTTCTTTGACATTATCTATAAGTTTAATTGAGCTGACTGATAAAAAAATTCATTTTAAAATATAGTTATAAGAAAATATATTTTTTTATAGATACAGTGTATTATTTAGTGTACTATATCACTGATAAATTTGAATTATCAATGTACTTACTATACAGTGTATAGTACGTTGATAATGCAAATGATATAGTATATTTGAATTTTCAATGTACAGTTGACCCCCCCCATAACACGGGTTCATATAATGCGGATTTGTATATTGCGGCAAAAAAATTCGTATAAAGACACTAAAAGAGACTCATAAAATGCGGTAAAACGTCATCGCCGACTTGTGTCGCGACAGGATTGGTCAAATCTGGACCATTAGTGGACAAGCATCCAAACTACTTACATGCTACGGAGAGTTTAGGCGGGTAAGTTGAGTTTACTATCATCTGTACAGTATATAAATTAGGTACTGTAAGTCTAATACAGTACTGTAATTTTATACATTTCTTGTAAAAAAAACATTTCTTTCAAACAGCCATAGTCTGTAAACTGCACACATGCCAGGCTGTGATTGGCTCATGTATTTAAGGATTCCTACAACGTGAAATTCTTATAAAGTGGAATGTATCTACCGCGTTATAGGGGAGTCGACTGTACTATATGATTTAGAAACAAAGTTTAAAGGACAAAGCTTCTAGTAAATTATACTTAATTGCAGTAGTTTTTAGCATTTTTTACCTGTTTTCCCACATGTATTTTCACCTAACTTTTGGTACAGCTAGCAGTGAAAAAAGAAAAATTCATTTCTGCCCATTTATCAATATAAAAACATTTAAATTTATACTAGAGATTTATTACAGGAAAAAATATGTAATTATACATTTATATTTGATATTGCTGCAGTTTTATTAAGATATTTTATTAGAAAAAGATGCCATTATTAATGGAAAATCTAGACAGAAAAAGATCTAAAAGTTCAAAGAAATAAAATTTATTTTAGATGCTATAATCACATTCAAAATTTAGTTTGTCTATGTTTAAATGAAAGCTATATACAGTGGGTGATTTGTTAACGAACATAATCCATTCCAAGACTTTGTTCGCTATCTGAATTGTTTGTTAACCATAATTTTTAT